TTGATGGGGAGGGGGCTTGGGGGCGGGAAAGACGGTGGAATGAGGGGCCGGGGTGTGGCTCAGTGGTACAGAGCTTGCCTAGCACGCAGGAGGCACTGGGTTCCATCCTCAGCACCACGTAAAAATAAAAATAAATAAAGGTATTGTGTCCATATACAACTAAAAATATCTTTTAAAAAAGATGGTGGAATGAGATGGACATGAGTCTGGGTACAGGTATGACTGCACAAGGGTGCGACACTCCATCAGGTACAACCGTAGAAATGAAAAGTTGTGCTGCAATTGTGTACAATGAACCAAAATGCATTCTGTTGTCATGCATACCTAATTAAAATTAATTAATTAATTTAAAAATTGGAAAACATTTTATTTATGAATGTATTAAAAGCATAGTTTGGGGCTGGGGTTATGGCTCAGTGGTACAGCTCTCTCCTCGCACATATAAGACCCTGGGTTCGATCCTCAGCACCACTTAAAAAAAAATAAATAAGTGAAATAAAGGTATTGTGTCCAACTACAACTAAAAAATAAATATTTTTTTAAAGTATAGTTTGTGGGGTGTGGCTGGGGCTCAGTGGCAGAGTACTTGCCTAGCAAGCGTGAGGCCCTGGGTTCAACCCTCAGCACCGCATAAAAACAGACAAATAAAATAAAGGCTTTCTGCCCATTTTCAACTACAAAATAAAAAATTTTAAAAAGCATAGTTTGCAAATTAAAAAAAAATACAGTTGACTGGGGATATAGCTCAGGGATAGAAGCTTACCTAGCATGCAAGAGGCCATGGGTTTGATCCCCATCACCATAAAAGTAAAAACATTGGAATTAAAAGTTTGAACTTATATTCAAGGATTTATTTCCGTATTCTCTATTCCATTCCATTTAGTCTATATGTCTTTTTATTGGTACTACACTTTTTTTGTGGTATCAGGGATTGAACTCATGGGCACTCGACCACTGAGCCACATCCCCAGCCCTATTTTGTATTTTATTTAGAGACAGGGTCTCACTGAGTTGCTTGGCACCTCACTTTTGCTCAGGCTGGCTTTGAACTCATGGTCCTCCTGCCTCAGCCTCCTGAGCGGCGGATTGCAGGTGTGGGACACCACACCCAGCTGGTACTACACTTTTTTGATCATTGCAGCTTTGTAATAAGTTTTGAAACTAGAAAATGTGAGAATTCCAATTTTGTTCTTTTTCAAGATTAATTTTGGCTATTTGGGGCTCCCCTGAATTTTATTTATTTTTATTTTACTTTTTTTTTTATTTTTTTGATTCCGGGTATTGAAACCAGGGATGCTTAACCACAAAGCCACATCCTCAGATCCTTTTTTATGTTTTATTTAGAAATACAGTTTTGCTGAGTTGCTTAGGGCCTTGCTAAATTGCTGAGGCTGGCTTTGAACTCGAGATCCTCCTGCCTCAGCCTCCTGAGTCGCTGGGATTATAGGCGTGCACCTATTTTAGAGTAAAATTTAAAATAGCTTTTTCTGCAAAGAATGTCACTAGGACTTTGATAGAAAATGTATTAAATCTGTAGATCCCTTTGAGTAGTATGGACATTTTAACAATATTAACTGTTCCAATCTATAAGTATGGGATTTTTTTCATTTATTTGGAGGTTGTTTGTTTTGTTTTGCTTATTGGTATTGGAGATTGAACCCAGGGATGCTGTACCACTGAGCTACATCCTCAGCTCTTTTTATTTTTTATTGTAGAACTGGGTCTCTCTGAATTGCACACGCTGGTCTCAAATTTGAGATTTTCCTGCTTCAGCCTCCAGAGTTGCTGGATAACAGGCATGTGTAACCACACCCAACTATGTTTGTGTTTCTAAAATTTCATTTCAGTACGTGTTATAGGTTTAAGGTTTTAAGTGTACCGGTCTTTGCCTCTTTGCTTACTTTTCTTCCTAAGTATTTTGTTTGTTTGGTGTTATTGTAAATGGAATTGTTTTCTTTCTTTCTTTCTTTTTTTTTTTTTGGTACCAGGAATTGAACCCAGGGTGCTTAACCACTGAGCGACATCTCCAGCCCTTTTTTTTTTTTTTTTAGTTTGAGATAAGGTTTCATTAAGTTGCAGAGGGACTCACCAAATTGGCCAGGATGGCCTCAAACTTGTAATCCTCCTGCCTTAGACTTCCCAGTCCTCCTGCTCCTCTTCCTCCTCCTTTACCTCTTCCTCCTCTTCTTCCTCCTCCTCCTCTTCACTCCCTCTCCTTCTCCTTCTTCATTTTCTTCAGGGTATTGAATCCAGGAATATCCCATCTCTGAGCTACATTTCAAGTCCACCCTCTATAACAAAGTTTGGGACAGACTCTCACCAAGATGCTTAGGCTGTCCTTGAACCTGATTCTTCCTCCCTCAGCCGCCTGAATAACTGGTATCACAGGAATGTGCCCCTGTGCCTGGTTCTTGTTTTAAAGTGACATAATAATTGCAGATATTTATAGGGTACAGCATGTGTACTGTCCACAGCTAGGGCACTGGTATAGATCGCTGAGAGACCAAAGAGAGTACACACCACGGCATGTGAGACAAGAGGTTTATTGAAAAACACCTACAGGGAAGGCCCGGGGGCAGCAGGCTGGACGGAGAGGCTCCCCCCTCACAGTGCCTTGTCCAGGGGTCAATGGCTGGAAGAGTGGCACTTGTCCTCACAGTGCCCTCCATTCCGCACCAGTTACCGTGGGGACAGAGGTTTTTGTAAGTTGGGCTACAGAAGCAGTGACATCACTAGCTTAGCTTGCTCTGTCCCATTGCATGACCAGCAACCCAAGGAGCCTGGCAGGTAGGCAAGAGAGCCGCTTTCTACCCATGACACTACCTTGCCCCATTCCCAGCATATGTGAGAGAAAACCGGTGTCCTTGGGGAGAATATTTACCTAACATTCTGGCTCAGATCCACTCTCATTGTTCCCTTGACTTGGCCAAGTTCCTGGGGATGGAGAGGAGCATTTCAGGTACATGGTTTTTACCGTCCTTCTTTTCTTCAAGGATGATACCGCGAGACATTTCAGCACATGTATGCAATGTGTAATGACCATATCAGGGTGATTGCCACGGCCATCCCCCAAACCTTTATCATTTCTCTGTGTAGGGAACATGCAAAATCCTCTCTACTAGCTGTTTGGCCCTAAGGACGCAGGTGGAGTTTTGGTCGGGAGCGCAGCTACTCCTGTACTCTCAGCTGAAGAAGTCCTCTGGTCTTCCCGTATGGGGACGTTGGTCCTCTTCACTGAGTGCAGCTTCAGGAGGGACACACGTGGAGCGTGAGGGGGCAAGGGGCACACACCCAGCAGCCAGAGCAGCCGAATCAGCTGGCGATCCATGGGCTGACAGGTGCCGTGGCCAGCTCACCTCCCATCCCTGCTACATTTTGAAATATATCATTATCCAGATGTGGTGGCTCACACCTGTAATCCTAGCAACTCAGGAGGGTCTCAAGTTCAAGACTCACTTGGGCAAGGTAGCGAGAACTTGTCTCAAAACTGAAAATAAAAAGGGCTGGGGATGTGGTTTAGTGGTTGAGGGCCCCTGGGTTCAATCTCCAGTACCATAGTTACTCTACTGTGCTACGAACTTTAGAAGTGACTCGCCCTCTCCGGCTACACCCGGTCCCCTTCACGGTCCTCTCTTCATGCTCCTGCCCCACCCCTTCCTTTCTCACAGCGTATTCTTTCTCACTGAATTCTGGAACTTTCTCTCAAATACTTATACTTTTTTTTTTTAGCCAGGATCCCATACTTTGCACCGGCTGGTCTCAAACTCCTGGGCTCAAATGATCTCCTGCTTCAGCCTCTCAGGTAGCTGGGAGGACAGGTGTACCACCATGCTCAGCCTTTCTCCCCTCGCTCTTTCCTTCTTTCTTCCTTTTTACACATCTTTCTAGGGAATCACACCAATGGACTATGCTCAAGAGATAAAGCCAGCTTGTTTTCCCAGTGTTACTTCATAGTGGACTCCATCTTGATTTTTAACACATTGATTAGGCATCCCTAAGTGTCTTAACCTTCAAGACTTTGGACTTTGTCTTTTATTATAAGTTAACAAAATCCCAACGGCTCCCTAAGATATGATGATATTTTCTTCCTGCTCATGAGTGCAGAAGGAACCTCCCTCCTGTTCCTGTCTCCTTGACTCACTCTGCCCTGTAAATGTTGTTCCTTAAACAAAACAAGTTGGTTCCACCCCCAGGGCCTTTGCCCCTGCTGTTCTCTTTGCCTAGACTCTCTCCTGGTCATCTTAACACAGGCTGCTGCAGATATCCCAAGGCTCAGAGTGCATGTCAGCTCAGAGGCCCTCCCTAAGTCTTTATGCAACATCCTCGCAGTAGCCATTGTGACATTCTTCGAGTGCTTCTGGTTCTTTCCTCCTTCAGCATTTCAGAGACTGTACCTGTCTGTCCTGTGGATGTTGGGTATAGTCATGTGACTCGCTTTAGCCAACAATATGAAGAGAATTGACCTGTAGTGTTTCTCGGCAAAAGCTCTAGAAGGCGGTTAGCCTGCTGCCAGATTTCCCCTTCCGCTGCTTCAGTAATGATCCAATCCCCTGAGGATGCGTCTCCCTGTGCCAGGGCCCACGAGTGACAGCACTGCACAATGGACATGGAACTTGAGCTAAGAATAAAATTCACTGTAAAGGAAAGTGAGGCTTGGTGGCTTTTTTAAAAAAAAATTAAGACCTTTATTAATAGGTGCTTGCAGTTTGTTGACTTTTTTTGAAAAAAATCAAGTTGTAAACTTTTATTACAAATTAAAAATGAAGTTCTTAAAAATCTCAACTTGACCAGATATGAAACAATTTAAAAACCTTTAAAGGCGTATTGAGAAAAACCAGGCTTTTTTAAAAAACACGTTTGTCATTACCAAAAAGAGACGTCTTTAGGTAAAAATAATAAAAACCCCATGCTGCATAGATAATGCAGATAGTTCTAGTTATCTGGTCAACGGGAAAAAAGTAAGTACTTAAGGTCTTCAGCTCCAATCTTTTGTTCATTTCTTATTGCTGGAATTTGATATTCATTTCTTCTTGTTGGATGTCTAAACCGGATGATGGTAGAGATGGTAAGCCGGCATTTACTCAGCCCCGCCCTGCTCAGCCTCGGGAGCGGACAAATTCTCAGCTGGTGGATCGGCTGCTTTTGTCTCTTTGCCATCTTGTGGTTTAGGGTTTTCTGGGCGTCTGCGTCGGTAATTGAAGTTGCGGCGGTACCGACGTTGAGGTGGCTGCTGACCTTGGGTCTCATCTCCTTGATTTTCCTTATCCTCTTCATTGCCATCCTCTCTAGGCTGTCTTTGGCGAGGAGGGCCCCTGCAGAATCGTGGTCTATAACCCCGATACATATTCTGTCTCACTGGTCTACCTTGTTCTCCTGCACCCTGGTTGTCAGCACCCTCCATCACTTCTCCCTGCACAGGAGGGTTGGAATACTGTGGTGGATGCCCATAGGGTCTCCGCATGTAGTAAGGTGGGAACCTTCGCCTGCGGTAGGGCCAGCGTTGTTGGGCCTGGCCTTCGGGAGCACTCTCCGATCCCTCATTCTTTCCCCCACTCTCACTGTTCTGATAATTCTGCTGGTGATTGCGTGGAGGACCCCTACCACGTGGATAGCGTCTATAATGGGTTCGGTCTGCAGCATATTTACTGCCTTGAACTGGAACTCCACCAGGGCCTGTAACATTTGCTGCCTCCGCACCCTTTTCTCCTTCAACAACATCAAACTCCACAGTCTCTCCATCTGCTACACTCCGAAGGTACTTCCTGGGGTTATTCTTCTTTATGGCAGTCTGGTGTACAAATACACCTTCCTTGGTGTCATTCCTGTTGATGAAACCATATCCGTTTCTTACATTGAACCATTTTACTGTTCCCAAAACCTTCGCTGCGATGACCTTCTTGTCCCCGCCGGCAGGCGCCGCTCCCTGCGTCGCTGCCCGTGGTGCCGGGCTGGGTGTCGGCAGCGCTGAGGGCGGGGGCGGCGGGCGGCTGCTGGGTCTCCGCCTCGCTGCTCCTGGTTGCGGTGATGGTGACTGGGGCCGGCTGCGGCAGCTGCGGCTCCTCCCGGGGTGTGATGGTAACTAGGCCGGCGGCGGCGGTGGGGCTGCTCAGGGCTCTCTGGGGTCCGCTCTCCGCTCCCGCTACCGATCGAACTAGCGAGAATCTTGGTGGCTTTTTAAAAATGGTGTTTTGATGAGTTTGGGAGTTCCTAAAAAAAACTTAGCATTAACAGGTGACCCAAAATTCTATCCTAGAACCCCAGATAATTGAAAACATACATCCAGGCTGGGCACAGTAGCACATGCTTGTAATCCCAGCAGCCCAGGAGGTTGAGGCAGGAGGATCACAAGTTTGAGGCCAGCCTCAGCAACTTAGTGAGGACCTGAGCAACTTAGGTCAAAATGAAAAATTTAAAAAGTTAGGGATATAGATCAGTAGTAAAGTGCCCCTGAGTTCAATCCCTAATAGCCATACCCCACCAAAAAAAAAAAAAAAAAAAAAAAGAATCAAAGATCAAATGAGCATGGTAAGGGAGCAGGCTGTGGGTGAAAGTTGGGATGGATTTATGGGTAGGTGAAGCAGATCTCTGAAGCCTCCAACACTGTTGTCCTTCCAGGATCTCAGGGGACTTGCTCATTCTTGGGCAAGACTTTCATGATTTTCACACCGAACTGGATCTCATCCCTTGTCAGTCACTTAGGAATGAAGGCAGGAAGGCAGCCTGGATCTGGCCCATCTATTAAGTATGTAACAAAGCTGCAGCTCACAGGGCTCCAGTATGACGCAGGGAAATGCCCGGTGCTCCTGGGACCATCTGGTGCTCTGACAAGTAGGAGGGGGGTCATTCTGGGGAGGAGGAGATCTCATCTGTAGGTGGATGAGTGGCCCCAGCATTGCTGAAGGAGTGGCAGTTCTGGGAGTTTTATTTTCTCAGGAACGCTACCCAAAACTTTTGAGGGCCGATGTGTTTCTTTAGAAACAAACAAACAAAAAATTTGCCTTAGTTCTTGGTTCGTCTTTTTACCAGTGTCTTTTATTCATTTGAGCTTCCCACTCCAACTGGAGTGACTGTGCTCCTGTGGTGTGAAGAGTCGTTAGCCAGAGGAATCAGCCACTTATTTCTGCACAACAAATCACCTAAGCTTACAGTGACTGTGGGTGAGGAATCCAGGACCGTGGAGCTGCAGGACCTACTCGGGACCCAGGAGGTCACAGCCGACCTGTTAGGAGGGGCTGCGTGATCTGAAGGCCCGCGAGGGCTGTGGGGGTACTTTCAAGATGGTGCCTCAGGGGGCTTTGGCAGAGGCCTTCTTACTGGTTATTGTCAAAGGGCCTCCATTCCTCATGAGGCCCCTCAGTTCCCCATGGGTTGCTTGATCCTCAGAATGTGGAACTAACTTCTTCCAGAGTGTAATTCAAGAAAGCAAGCAAGGTGACAGCCAGTCTTTATATATATATATATAAAATATTTATTTTATAAATAAATAACATATAAATAAATATATAAATAAAAACAAATATAAACATAAATATATTATATAAATAAATTTATATATATATATTTTTTTATTTATATATATATTTATATGTAAATCACACACATATAGTACTGAGGATTGAACACAGGGGTGAGTTACACTCCTGACCTTTTTTATTTTTTATTTTGAGACAGAGTCTCCTAAATTGCCCAGGCTAGCCTTGACCTTGTGATCCTCCTGCTTCAGCCTCCCTAGTCACTGGGATTACAGGTGTGTGCCACTGTGCCTGGCTCAAACCTCATCATATTCTTTAGAAATAAGTCACTAAGTACAGTCTCCAGTAGCAATGGGAATTAAGTTCTCCCTCTTGGAGGGAGGAAATCAAAGAATCTGAAGACATATCTTGAAACCACTATACTAGATGTTGGAAATGTAAAAGGCAAAAAACAACATTAAGTATTACAGAGGTAGCAATTGCATTACAATTGCAATTAGTATTATGGAGGAAGGAGGCTGTAATTATTAAAACTCAGAAGTTTACAGAGAAGGGAGCTGGGGGCATAATATAGCGGGGTGGCTTAGCATACAGGAGACCCTGGTTCAAACCGTGACACACACACAAACACATTATATATATATATATAT